TATATCGGGATTATCTTAGGAACAGCACACAGTGAATGCTGCACGATAGACAGTAAATCAAAGATGGCTGCCGGCGTTTCGTTCAATACAGTTGCTGAGGTTAACGCGTAGATCGCACGATTTGTACCTACTTGCACTTAATAATGGTATTGTTTTGCTGTTCACGTTTGTAATTCAGGAAGAATTTGGAAATGCAATGCTTCTGTATTTCGCAAAATGTTTAAAGCAAAAATAATTACTATTCAAGTTTTTAGCTGAAGGCATGCTTATGATGACCTAGAGGCATAAATGCATTGAATGATCATACTAGCCTGGCTCATATTACATAGGACTAACTATATGTATATACATCTCTTAGTCTGAGCAGTAATTATAGCTACTCGCTAATCAACAAAGATTATGTCAGAAGACTATAATAAAAGTAATTCTACAACTAAAGCTCATTTTATCAATGTCTCGGTTCGATACGGCACATAGTAATTTGTGATCGTTGTCGTAGCATCGACTACTCAGAGTACCTTAAAACAATGTCCGACAGGGAAGTAAGAGAGAGGAAGCAACTTAAAGTTACGTATGTTTGATTAACTTATAATTTTACCTCTACGACACAAAGATGGTCGTTTGAGGAGACAAACAACCAACAATCAGTTTACTGATAAGTATCATTTCGATATTTCGAAAGTAAAGCGAAATAATGAACCAAAACCATTCATTTGATATTGAAACAATGGAAACTCGTTAATTTTTGAAAATGAACAACGAATCATAGTAGAACACATTCATCAGACAAAGCAATTGTTAAATTTTATAAAATAGACGAGTGCTGCAATCTTTAAAAAGTTTAGAAACAATTTATCAACATTGCTTTATTGCAGACTATCTGGATACAAATTCATCAATATCATTAGCTTTTATGACTTTAATAAAGTTTCCAGCTTCCCACGAAAGAATCTAAATCATGCAAGCAAACATCTCAATAATTTTGCAATAAACAAATTAAAAACTTTTGCAACGATCAAATATTATAACTTGGTAGTCTAGTGATGGAATTCAATCGAGTCGCAATCAGACAATTCGGTTACATCGATACAGATAAACTGTTATGACTAATCGATTACTGATATTGCACTCGAATTGGGGATTGTCATAGCAATCGTTAAAAGGTCTGAGTGTTCTCATACTTTTTAATGTGAGTCACAAAATTGTGCGTGACGGATTGTTAGGTGGTCGAATGTATCGCCAATTTTGTGATGTAATTATTTGGCCAACACTAAAGATATTTGAAGGAGGTAAGTACATAATATATCAATATGAGTTCTCAGTGGGAATGCATGTTATTATCGATGACCTTTTACCTCTCGTGTTAGTGAATATGACCTGAGGTAGAATGTCAAAGAGAGGTCTCTTACGTAATTTTTCCTTCTTTTTCTATGATGACTAATAAAATATATAGCTAGACGGTTTTTATTATATGAAATTAAATTAAATTATACTATGTAACTTGATGTTTTATTTTAGGAGATTTTAGTTATAGAAAGCTGTTTGAGTGATATTTGGAACTTACACAATAGTAAGTTTATTGCTTCATGAAACCACCTTTTGTGGATTATATTGCAGCTTAGTCTCCTACTATATTTGGTTAATAAAGGAGAACCAGACAATTAATTGTTGCATTTCTAATACTGATCCATTAAATATATGTATTTTTATTATTAACTACCATTTTGACTACAAATGTTTGTTTATTATTAGGTTATCTAAAATGTGAGTGTGTCATAAACTCAGTAAATATGGGAGAGCCATGCTTCGGCACGAATAAGCTGGCTCGACCGGAGTGATACTACGGCTTCACAGAAAACCAACGTGAAACAACACTACATTTTATTTTGTCGTATGAGTGGAGTTACCGGTGGCACAAATACCCTCCTCCCCAATCTCCCCAATCCCTGAATCCCCAACAATCGTTAAATTCCAAACCCCCAAAAGGCCAGTAACGCACTCCATGGTGTTTCAGGTATCGGTCTGCTCCTCCACTCGTTTATTTAATAAAAAAAACTACAATCAAAAGAACGATAAACGTAACGTAAACATGACAATTTTGTACGGTTAACCCTAATATAGAGAACAAACTGGGAAGTTGTAATTTATCCTAATGTATAACCTAATCGTTAAATTAGATTAATTAAAATATTTATAGTTATACAATAAACATACAAAGACCAGTATATCTAATAATTGTGATTCAAAGCCCAATAGATGTTAATCGCAGTTTATTCTCGCATCATTGAGCTGAACAGTCGTGATCCATTATATTGTATTGATTCCGTTTAATGTACACTTACTTGCAGCTTTATTTGGAGAGATTGTACCTAGTTACAATTTGTGGCATTTACTTCTGCAATTATGGAATTTGTAAAATTTTAATGGATACATAAAATATACTGTTTTATAACCGACTTCAAAAAAGATGGGGTTGAAAGAAACCTATTTTTAAATGTGGTATTTGAAAGAATTACTATCGTTATTTAAAGAATCGTTCATGATATGGTAATACATACTCTCTTTTGCAAGGAACTTCTGAAATAACTGGTCGAAAGTGGATTTAATATTGTAGATGTATGTAAACAGCTCTCCCTGCCCCTCCAGGACAAGATATAAAAGTCATATTTAGCAATGTAATATACATTCCTTTATTAAATCTAATGCACGCCAGTGTACCCCTATAAAACTGAAGATGACTTAGTGATCGCTTACCGGATCTTACGCTGACAGTCACGATTTGTTCTTGAACACTAAATTCCTAGCATTACACTGAATTAAAATATAGTTTATCTCTTCCTATTAGATAATTATAATGTACATAATAATTTATGTAATGTTTATTTTATTATTTATTCGTCGAATGTGTATTTGTGAATTTGGGAGTCAGATGAGATGAGTCTGTCTAAATTTAGATGACCATAAAAATACCAATGTAATAATATTTTTGTGACTAATTATATTATATATATTTTTTTTTAAGGGGGGAAAATCATCGAATGACTGCTCCCGCCTGGGTGAGGCGGAAAGGAGTGTCAGACTCTTACTGACCAAAAACCACCCCGTTCCTTCTCCTGCACGTCGAGCCGGAGCCCCGGTTACCCGTTAGGTTCTCCGCGACAATTATATTATGTTTAAATTGACTGCGCAGTTGCGGTTCGATTTCCGCACGGAGCAAATTGTTGTTCAAATCATGTATACTCCTACTATTGTATTATTGTGATTTTCTAAATAATAGTCACGTAGTTATGCCTAAAATGCATAACAATTTAGTAGCTTCCAATGCAAGGTTAATATTTTCATGAGTATGTTAATAACATATCCTAAAAATCAACTTATACTATAAACAATTGGTCGCGGAGAACCTAACGGGTTCCCAGGGCTCCGGCTCGACGTGCAGGAGAAGGAACGTGGTGGTTTTTAGTCAGTAAGAGTCTGACACTCCCTCCGGCCTCACCCAGGCGGGAGAAGTCATTCGATAATTTTCCCCCCTTAAAAAAAATACTATACAATTTCTTCTGTTACTGTCAATGTCAATGTCTGAATACCTCCATAATTAAACATGACGCCTATCAAAAAATTAAAACTTGTTGCAAAACTAAACAACACCAAATAAAATAGGATACCATTTAACTAGAACGCCTGAGCATATTCCGATGGCATTGCGCCGCACTATACTAAGAGGTGGAAGCTCTCAAAGGCGTCTTCATCATCGTCATCAACAGCCAATGAAAGACCACTGCTGGATTACGGAGCTCTTCAACGTGAGAGGGTTTCCACATTTGGTAAGTGGAATTTTAAATTTATCAGAGAGTCTTACTACATGAGGTTGAAGTAAATTTTATGAAAGTTTTAAAAGGTTTTCGCTTCGTAGGCTCGTAATAATTATACGAAGCGCCTGTTATTATTTTGTTTACAACACTCGATGTTGTGTTTTGACGATCTATAATCAAAGACTAGCAAGTCGTACTCTTTTAGAAGAAATTCGTTCTTTAAATATGTAATACATTCATAACCTGCCTGTCTCCCAAGAGGGTAGGTAAAGATTTTTTTAGGAGGTAATGTGATCCAATGACTTCTTCCGGTGGAGTGAGGTGGGAGGGAGTGTCAGACTCTTACTGACTAAAAACCACCTCGTTCCTACTCCTGCACTGAACCGAAGCCCCGGCAACCCGTTAAGTCCTCCGCGGCAAAGACTAAGGAACGCCAATTGCTATGATTCTTACATACCTCTTGCGCTTCATCAACAGTCATCAGTCTTTTCATGCATGCTCATCGGTTGAGACAATGTTCTTTTGTTATCAACAAATCAAGTAAATTTATAGGTATTTGTTTAGTGAATAACATAAATTTCACATTTACGTAGTATTAAGATTTATTAATTTTAAATTACCACAATAATCAATGAATCAATGGCTTTAGCTTAATGTTTCATTACTACAGTCTTCATATAAAAGGGATAAATTTGAAGCATAAAAGATCACACCCACGTAATAATTCTTATTTATTTATTTACATAGTTCGTGAAATTGCAAGATGATATAAAATAAAATAGTTCGTACATTTTCATTTGCACTGTGGAGTTTCATAGCTAACTATAAAAGTAAAGTAATTCTGAACTACGGAAATACAGGGATAAATAAATTAAAGATTACCTACCCTATTATAAACCTCGACTTTTACATTATTCCAAATAAATAATAATTATACAATCATAATTTTATGGCTTCCCCAGATATTACAAACTTTGTTTAAAATTAGATTTTGCTATGCCAAAAATAATTTTCAATTTATTTCGATTTCGCCCATTAGAACAATCAACCTCTAACCTAAAATGGTGGAATATCCTTAAATACAATCTATAAATACTGGCCATAAATATAATATTCTAATTTCACAAATAAATCCGTGGCACTATTCTTAACACTAAATTATTTTTCTAAATAATTAGTTTCATTAGTCTAAATAATCATATTATGGGGTTGGTAAGGGGCATCGAACTCGAAGCCGCCGTAGTCAAATTGGGGATCGCCGACCTTCGGGTATACTGAAACAGAAAATTGAAAAAGTTAAATAAATAGATAAAGAATACTAATAAACAATTAGTCTAAAAGCCATATGTCTCTATAAACATTTTGTCTTCCTATATGTGTTCGATCCACTTAAAAAAAGAAAGATAAATAAACTCCGAAAACCCTAATTATGTCGGTCTATTGTGATTTCTTTCATAGATAAGTTCAACGGTTTTGAGATCATTCCCAGGGTGCTTCCAAATAGCAGGTTAATTGAAAACTAGTCTATTTCCAACTAAGTAAAATAGCACAGATTTAAAATCCAATAAAATCTCTTGAGAACATTTCCAATAAACATTGTTGGTACTATTGAAATTCTGCCATTCCCTTTACCTAGAGTTTCTTCTACCAATGAAAATTAAGTTGACACAATATTAGTCGTAGGTAAGACTACGAACCACAAACTACTAGGATTATTAAGCGTAGGTAACAAACAAAACCTCTTTTTTATATTTTTATCCAACAATAGCGTGCCGTACAATGCGATTACTAATCAGAGACTGGCACTAATTAGACACAATAGTACTGCGTGCGTTTACACGTATCCTGTACTTAGAAACAGCAATTCAACCTATTCCTTTTAGTAAAATTCCTTTATTCGATTATCAACTTTATAGTTTTGTCATTAAGTTGAAATTCCAATGAAAAAATTAGACAGATTGGTATAAGTTAACAATAGATATTTTTTTATTTGATATGTTAATAAGTATAGTTATGTCACTGAATAAAATCAATGTGATCTGCGATCTCTATCGATGACAATGACCCATTGAAATACCATTAATGATTGCATTTGAATATTTTATATGGTCTTGCTAATTACAATCGAAACGTGCGAAGTGTGATTTGATATCAAGGTCCTCGTTCTTGTTGATGTATTATAAGGACTAAGGAAGTACCGTTTAGACTAAGATATGGGTACAGTTCCAATAATAAGGTGCTGTAGAGCTGAACTACGCCGTCTCCCCAAATTGCTTCTGATCAATGACAAATGTGAAGGTCGTAATGCGACACAAAGTTGTCGTTGTAATAGAAGTCAAGTTGTAGTTATTTTGTAAAAGTAAACAATACCTTAGTTATAAAGCTCTTATTAGTACGATAAATGGGGTGAATAGGGATCGAGATGTGAATACGGGCAGAAGAGGGGTGAATTGATACTATGAAAAATTTTCCTATACGGTATGTAAAAAAAAATGTAAAACTAAACACTCACACATATACATAACCTCACGCCTGTCTACCGTGGGGGTTGGCAGAGGCTATGAAACACCATTTGCTACGATTCTGAAATACCTCTTTCCCTTCATAAATAGTCATCAGTCTTTTCACGCATGCTCGGCGGTTAAAGGTACTTTTAATGTAAATTAAAAACTGATATAGATAAAAATAACATAACCAAAATCTGGGAAAACCGTTCAGATTTTTTTAAGTGCATTGTTCTTTCAAGTTCAGTTTAAAAAATGAATATAAAGCCGAGAATAAAAGATTAAAATAATGTTCCTGTTATACTTACAGAACGGTGAAGCTGAAGGGTAGATTGACTGGGGGTAGTACTCAGGAACTTCCACAGGGACTGGTATAGGTTTAGCGTAATACACTGGCTGGATCTTCTGTTGTGGAGGAGGTGCGGGCGCAGCGTGCAAATTCGGCCCTGTCTTTGATACTACCGCGTTGAACCCGTGGACGGGATCTGCTGTATAGTCCACTGTACGTATAGAACCATCGGGTTCTACTAGAGAGTATTGTCCTGGAAAAATAAAGTAAAATTTAGTTAACGTCATACCATGTTGTTAATCTCACATGAGTATGACTCATTATCTAAGACCTATAATATGTAAAAGGGGCTGAGCTTATTGACTCTATTGACTAAATTAACTGCGAATAATAATGAGAACAAAAAACTGATGACTCAATAGATTAAATGAATCACATAATATCAGAGTTCACATGCCAATAAATTCACAATCTCGATTCAAGTTCAGTCATTAACGAAAGTGTAAGTTACACTATAATTATAACTATCACAGTATAATAAATCTCATATCTCAGGTCAAAGCCCTTTAAACAAAGATGCGAATTTGGAAATCGCTTGAGAAAATTTAGTTTTTACCCGTTTTTATGTACACATGATTGTGAGTATGTGTCAATGTATCGTTAACGGTGTGGATTTGAGAACAATGCCTTATGGAGATTTATCTGCTAGTGTTGGTATCTGCGTTGATTGCTGCACAGTGAACTGCTAGAAATAGGCCTATTTCACTGTCTCAGATCAATCTATATTCCCGTGCATTTGATTCTTAAAAACATCGAAAGTATGTAAATCTATCTATATATATAGATATAATAAAATCGTAGGCAAGTGAAAACTGTACTGTACATTGAATATATTTTTAAAAGAATACATTGGGTGTGATCTACAGTCGATATCGAAAATATGGTTTTTAGAATTTTTGTCTGTTTGACACTTTCCACTATGATGAGATGGGATGAACTAAAAAAGTGCTGCATGGATGGGGTCAACATATACGCTACATATTATCATGCTATCAACGGGAGGAGCTGTGAATCACAATTCCACGCGGACGAAGTCGCGGGCTCAGCTAGTTTCTAATAAGTGATTTTTTTACATGTAAAATATTTTTTCCTTGTGTTTCGTTAGTCGAGTGATCACAGGTACAATTGCCGAGCAAGGATCTCAGATTTTTGCCCTATATTCAGTTTTTCAGTAGCTGTACAATGCTTCATTGGAGTCCAGTTTGTGCTATAAGGCTTCGGGACAACTTTTTATGAATTAACTAATCAAAAGTTAGCGTTATATTATTTAAATATTCTATATCCACCTCTACCTAGATCTTCAAGTAAATAATATTATAAGATTATGAATAAACTCACCTAACTTTATAGAAAAGTATGCAAGAGCAAGAGTTACTTTTAATAAAAAAAAAATTCCCATTAGGCCAATGAGATCACAGTGAGACAATCAAATTATTATGTGGCAGTGTTATGAATATTAATTAGTCTTTTGATAACAGACACAGTGATTTAATGTGTCTTCCGGGGTCATTACATTATACTATTGTTTATTTAATTTATAAACTATTATTTAATACATATTTGGAAGTGTTTAATTCAGATTTTTATGACATGTGTACAAGGGTATTCAGTTATGTGAACCAATGCAACAACTACGCAACAATTATTATATTGATTCGTTATATTTTAGACACAATGTTTTCATAAGATCAAGTTTCATATTATATAATTACCTAAATTATTATATAATATGAAATATATTTTTAAATAGACCTACTATTTAAAAAAATATTTCATTTATTAGATATTAGTCTTAATATATTCAAATGAATATTTTTTTATTAAATTTAAATTACAAATGTGCAGATGTTTTAGTGTTTATATCTTGCAACCTTGTACAACGCCTAGTAGATTCTGCATAGTAATATTAACTCAAAATAGCGAAATAGTTTCCTTATTAAAATTATTTAGTAGAAGCAATCGTAATACCATCTTCCGTTTAATACTAATATTATTTTTATATAGTTCCTTGCTATGTAAGTGCGAAAGTAACAGTTTATATGTTACGCTTTCACGGTCAAGCTTCTCTGTCAATGATTGATATTGTGGAGATTGTTTCAATGAATTGTATCTTATAAACGACAAATAAATAACATGTCATTAACCTATACAGTAAAATTCGAGTAACCAAATCATTTAAATGTTAATAAAATTATGACTAAGTTTCATGATCTTGTTTGTAGATATTAACTATAGCCATAAAAATTGTATGGTAAATTTTCCGATGTTTGCATATCTACCTAATTACGGAAAAGAACAAAATTATAACAATGATTAATATCAGCACAAAGTTCATCAGACCAAATTAATTTACAAGAAAAAAAACATAAAATCTCACCTTTGACCACATCACCATCCCTGCTCTCATGCTGTGACTTCACGTCACCAGTTGAATGATCTGCTACACCATAATTAAAGGCATATTTTGGCGTCTGCTGAAATATTAGAAAATAACCCTTAATACAAACCAATTTTAATTTATAAATATTAAAAAAGTAATTAATTTAAATATCCATACATATCAGTTATTTCACTAAATATTAGCCTAAACAAAATTAAGAAAACAAAAAAAATCTTACGTAATATTCATATCCAGGCAACTGATAAACTTGACCTGGCAACGGGAGTCTGGGCTTAGCGAGCGCCAGACCAACACATACAGCCAAAAACAAACACAGACAACGACACATATTGCTTAACACTGAACGAAACACACACTGGGATGAATACAACCGTCTTGTGCACTGTCTACTCCTTGAATACTTGGCTGGTAGGTCTACAAGCATTTATATCTGGCCTTATTCGAGAGCCAGCCTTGGTAACTCCTCAGTATACCAAAAGCCTTCCGAAAATGAAGTTTCCTTTACGTCTCGGCTAATTGAGAAAATGTTCGCACGCCACAATAGGTCGCATGTTGATTAGATTGCTACACTGATCCAGATGACGATTAATTAGTGGTTTGTTTATGTACTTTTTTATTGGGTTTGGTAATATATTGGTTTTATACGTCTCGTGTAAATTAAACATCTTTTTTTATTTGTGAAAGTACCTACTTGTCACAAAGGATAAGTTTAAACTGTCAAACACCAAGCGGTCACCGGTGACCGCGACCTATTGTTCTTTAATTGTGTCTATAAAACCGGTACTCGACGAGTTAAGATTAAATTAAGCCCGAAAATACCTTTTTGAACATTATTGATAAAATTTTAATAGTTTAAATTACACAAAATTAAATCCCCATATGTAGCACGCTACTAGGTATAAGAGACGTGGAATTTTCTCAAAGCACCGTTTTCTTTTCTTTTTTAAGCCAATCTCTAAATTAGATCTACTACGATTCCACTCACAACTCAGTACAAAAGGTAAGTACTTATAAAACCAAACCCACGTACTAATCCAAATAGGGATACAAAATAACGTGGAAGTAGTTACATTGACTTGCAAGGCTTTATAAGTTACGTTATGGCTAACATCATTAGACTGATGGTAGTAAATATTGTCCTACTACATTTGTCACTATTCACTGCATCTCTTTCTGTGGATGTCGTAAGATGCGAATAAGGAACATTTGAGTAAGACCGGCTACCAGTGTTCTTTTTGCCATCATCTCACATGACATTTCATCCCTATCATATAGATGGTTGGCAGGCCATAACTGTTCCCTTTTCCCGGAACTTTCTTCTTTGCACAGCTACACTGTGGAATGATTTGTTGTCCGTGGTATTCGAACCGATACCACCTTCAAACCTTCAAGAAAAGAGCGTATTTCTTTTTAAAAGACCGGCAACCACATTCCTCTAGTGTTGCGAGTATCCATGGACGGCGCTGATCGCTTACCATCAGATGATCCTTTTAAACTGAGATTTCTGATTGTTTGAATTATAGCAAACCTTCTCTAAGAAAGACTAACAATAACTCTAGAAGCAGTTTGTTATCCAGCAGTGGACTGTCACGTACATTCTTTTGATGTTGATGTTAAAAGGCAATAATGGGCCTCAGGTTCAAAGCTAATGGGTTTTCGTTTTTGAACACAGACTTGTGTTTACAGAATTAGGCAAGTGTAATGTACTCTGCTCATGTCGATTGTACTTACACAAATGACAGGTCGTTTAATGGAGTGGTTATGTAACAAAGTGGTCCTGAAGATGGTGAAGTACTTAAAGAGATTTAAGTATGTTTTTGTGAATAGATTTTACTGTTTTAAGGACAATTTTATTATGACTACGGAATTGGACAAAGTATCGAAATATTGGTGACAGTTTTTAAAATTCTCATTAACTTGTTTATTATTAAATCAAATCCATTAATGAGCAACTGAATTGTAATGTGCTCTTCTAGTAAATGGAGCCCGATTCACCCAATGTGAAAAACTCAGTTCCATAGTCAAGTTTAATGGTAGTGCTCTACGAATTTAGAAATTGACAGAACTAATAATATTTCGGCAGCCCAAGGATTATCAACAAAATTTATGCATTTGCTAGCCGTTCTTACTACCACTCGAGTTCGACCAATGTCATAAACTTTATAGTACCTACCTATAGGGCGTTTATACCTGTGGGAAACGTCTATGTCATAATGTTCATTACCGGTTGTTAGCACGTACAAAGCCGATTAAATGCTGTATACACCATGGACAATTAATCCAGTAACTAAATCTCAGTTACTGATCTCGTGTGAACAAATTTGATACTTGCGTCTCTAGAATTTATTTTTATTGTTTGTTTTGCCTTAAGAGGAAAATTTATGGGAACTGTTGAAATGCTGGTGTTGTTTCTTAGTGTTCTGTGATGATATGTTGTACCAGAGCTAAGTAGACTTCACAAACTATGAAATCTCGTCATCATCTCCCAAATTTTCTTCGTTACATTTTTTTAAACTACTACAGGTACTAATACTATGTACTTTACATTAATTCAGGTCATGATCCAAAAGTCAGATTCCATCCAAATTAATTCAGTAGTTTTGCGTCATTAAGCAACAAACTAAGCATACAAAATTTCATTGTATAAAATAGCTAAGATTGTAATGCATCATTGTTCCTAACATAGTGCAAATATTTTCCTACTATTGTACACACTTCTTGTGTTTGCCGTAACAAATCGTTTCAACCCAAACAAAGACTGCCAGACTATGACCAATTTTTGTCGTTGTTGGTAATCGGACGTTCACTTCTGGCTCTCCAAAGGTTGACGTTTCCTTCCCTGAACAATAGGAGAGTCCTCTCATCAAATTCAAACCTTCACATTTGATTCGCTGCTTTATCAATGAAACTGTACAAAGAAGTTTGGACACCCCTGTTTAAGAGCCTATACGACTTTCACGCTCTTCTTCTGTGGCGAAATGCATTCTTGATGCTTTTGAGTTTAGCTAAATAGATAGATAGGGTTTTCGAAACACTGTTACTAGTTTTATCAAACTTCGTACATAAGATTAAAAGCACTTATATTTATGAATAAGATATAGCAGCAACTATCGAGGTACAGTTCAGTCAGTAAAATTAGCTATCATTACAAACACATACTTTCTGACATCGGCTTTTTATTCCTTTTTATTTTGAAATAGGTCAACAAATTTGCAAGCTACCAATGTTTTTAGCATTAATTAAACACGTAAATTACCATCCTAGAACTAAAATAAAAATAATTTATTAAACAAAACGTCGCTGCTAATAGATGAGCCATTGAACGTTTGATTCTTCTCGAGATAACAAAATGGCGGATTAGCATAATGTGCGTTTGTGTCGTATTCTCAAGTGGCGAACAACAAAAGGCTAATGAAGTAATTACGTACACCTGAATTTCGACAAGGATTTAAGTACAAATCGCGTAATAATTAAGTAATCGCACAAAACATTTATGGGTGCGTTTTGTTTTACCGAAGGCAAAATTAACTTGAATAAACCCAGTTCATAGACATGTCGTTATTTTAATAATAAAAATTTAAATGCAATTTAAGTGAGGGTATAGCTAGGTACTATTATTAGGAAAATATTGTCTATGTATATGGATTCACCTTTAGATAATAAGAAAAAGTCTACTAAAAATAGTTATGGAGTTTCCATGATTGTAATTAGATCAGTCTTCATCTTGCTCTCTATTCCTAAACATGCACAATACTTATAGGAACTACCTAATAACCTTTTCCAAGAACTACAAACATCGGAACTAAGCAATAAAGCTAATTTATTAGAACAAAACAGTCTCAATGTCAACCTACTGTGAATAGATAAAAATATCTATACAAGTATAACTTTTATGGTGCGCTAAAAATCTATGGGGACAGAACTACGCCATTGTTATCACGAACGTCTTGATACCCCATTGTTCCTATTCACACACACTATGCATCTAACAAACGATTTATTCCTACCATATTCCACATACATATGTATCATAGCATTGTATAATGTCCTTCATCATTTTCTCACACAGCGGTATTTATTACAATTTTGAATTGAAACTAATTATTCAATTTAAGGTATCTAATTATAGAGTATGTTAGTTGGTATTCAATAATTAACTCATTTATCATCGAAAAATACATTTATGTATTGTTTTGGAGTTTTTTTGGTTTATCAATGCATAATAAGCTTCCTGATGATTTTGATCGGAATGTTTCTCAAAAGTAATGACATCATTTTAAAAAATTATAATTGTAAAAAGAATATTGAGTTTAGTGGAAACTGTTTAGCTTATTACTCACCCAGCAACGTCTTGTTATTAAGTTCGTGCACGTTGCACGCACGAGCACGTTGCGTGGCAGCTGGTTGCCCAGCCACCACACTAACCGTGTTGTCAAAGTAAATGTGTACCTAATATCCTAATATTACGAAATGCGACCCCACTGAAAGCTACATCCACACGCCCCGTCCGTCAATTTCCAGGTTACCTCCTCAATCACAAAGGAAAGACTTTAGCAGTAGACATCTTTTAGCTGGCTACCACTTGTGATTTTTATTACAGGTAAGAATGAATACATAATAACATTATAGTCAAATAACAACAAACGGTCAGACATAAGTCAATTTATTGAACAATGTCTCCACATAATAACCACATATAAACATAATTGTATAACGCATACACTACAACAATAACCTATAACAAATTCAGGTACTTTTCATAGAAACATTTAACGATTACAATAAATTAATGAAAGGTTCAACATTCAATTAAAAAGAGATCGAGCATTTTGACTTAATCCTTTCATATAACAATTTCATTATTAAATAAGAACTTAAACTTAAATATAGCAAAAAAAACATCGAAAATTGGCCTCTGATGAACACCATATATCCAAAATTTTGATAATACCAACACGGATTACAAAGGAAATACTTTCGCTATGCCCAAAATTAAAGAGATTTGGTGACGTCATACTCTCAAAGTCAATAAAGATCTTAAAGAAGTAAGTGCTTATAAACTCTCGTACACTGTTCGTTATTGATCTCATTTAGGAATTACAAATCTCGTTCTTATTGTCGTTAACCAATAGATGAATTTCGCTCAGCAAAGTCCAAACATTTTGGATTCCAGAAAGTTTCAATTGGTAGTCCAGTTGGCTTCACATCTTTTATAACTTAATGGTGAAGATGGGCTGCTTCATGGGGCGAGATAGGCGCAGTCTTGTGTACTACGGCATTGAATCCGTTGTGTTTGTCAGCGGTGTAGTCCACTGTGCGAATGGAACCGTCGGGTTCAACCACCGTGTATTGACCTGCAAAGAAAGTCGGTTGCGGTAAGGTAAGGCCTAATATTATGTTGTATATCTTCGTTACTATCGTGTCCGCATTAAACGAGGGAGTAGAACACACATTGTCCCTCATTACTTAAGATTTAGATATGAAATTAAAAAGACAACGTTGAAGCAATAAGTTCCTTCATGGATATCGGATAATGTAATGATTGTAAAAAATGACAAACGGGAAATTCTCAACCAGCGTGCTTGTAAAACCAAATGGCATGGCTTTGAAATACTTAATACTAATGGAAGCTAATGAAGTATCTAAGTTGTAGTGTGTAGGTGGCGCTTTGTATCCTATCTCATGGGACAAAAACGTGAGCTTATGTATGCGAAAAATTTGTTTATAGAGGTATAACCTTGCATTGCTCGAAATCTATAAGGCTCACGGCGCGATCTTCGCCCGCACACGCCGTGGTGGCGTAATGGACAATTTTCAAAACTCACGAGACCGTAGGTATCGATTCCGCAGCTGCCGCAGTTGCGATTATCCCGCAAACTGCGGTTGATTATCGCAAGACGGGCGGGTGGTTAAACATTCAGTCGAGTTTCAGACCGGTTGTCCCATTGCGATCGCCCGCCAACCGACTACAAAGCGCGCGGGTGCTAGCTGCCGTGGATGCGGGACCGCGGCCGCGACCACCGGCGCAGCGGGAGCCGCAAACAATCGAAACCGTCGCGATCGTAAAACGCGCAGTAAAAATTAATTTTGATTTTTTACATACATATCTGTATTCTACAAATGCTGCGGGCCCACAACGACGGTGGGTGCGGGACAAAATTGTGCCGTGAGTCTTTAGCCTAAGGTTTACGTTTTCCCTATGGAAGTTTTAACAGTATCCTGTCCATCTTGCGTAAATCTTTAGTGAGATTTTCTTGATAAGTCTGCAGTATCTTACTAGTCTAGAAAGGTACTATAGAAAAATAAAATTCAAATAAAATTACCTTTAACAACGTCACCATCCCGGCTTTCATGGTGAGTCTTGATGTCACCACTGTGGAAGTCGTTCACGCCATATTTGAAGACATACTTCGGATACGCCTGGAAAATGAACAAATTCATTATAAGTATGATAAAATATTACTATTCCACGTAAAAAAATTGTTGGAGTAGGTTTAAAAATAGTTATATTATTTAAAAAATCTTGAATATATGCTGATCAGAAACAGCACATTCACAATGTAATTGTGTATCACTACCATTGTTTCAAACTAATACTAATACAAGTAAATATCTACTAAATTATTTGACTCAATGTACTTTTAAATTTCCCAATGTCCAAAAAAGAAATTAATATTAATTACGCATTAATACTTTCCGGTACGCATAAAATAAACTAAATATTACGCACAATCAAAACATACAAATGCAGGTCAAAGCAATTTCCCAAAAAACGAGGTTAAATTAACAAAACCATAACATTACGTAACGCCAATGTCATGTGTTCATAATGTAAATAGTGAAGTCGGAAGCCATTCATACGAATACCGTGTAGTGTTGTAGTGAAACCGTTTGAACTGACCACGTGCGCTTGCACAACTATGTTTTATGTTATACTTAAATTCTACTTAAGTTAGGCTTAAATTAAAAGTGTAAAGCGATTTGATAATGTCTTTCAAAATTAAACGTATTTTTTTAAGAAGGTTAGTCAATTTTACAATGAGGGTAAGGTGGAGGTGAATAAGGATAAAACTTTTCCACCTTATTCCGATCGTAGATTCCTGATAATGAACATTCGAGTTTCCTTGATATCTCTTGCCTAAATAGGCAAGTAATAGGCAAATAAGTAGTTAAGTAAATACCTAATAACTTTAACGATTTATCTTTGTTTAAAGTCATTTAATGTAACAGACTAAGCGCCGATTTTTCCAATGCGAGATAAATTTTAACTAAGGAATAACTTTGTATATTTGACAATTCTTCCATACTAACCACTGTCAAATGTCTATTTTATACTACAGTTAGGTGATAATTGTATGATGATAGAGTCTGATGATTGAAAAATTGGCCCTAATAAAATTAACTAATTACTCGACAATTCATTCTCGACTCGACTCGACATTCTTTCAACTTGGACCACACCATCAACTTGCGTACGCACACGCAGTACACCAACAAGCGGAACGGCACACAGGAAATGCAGTCTTATCACAATTCCTATTCATTCAAAGATGCAGTACTTACTACAAATAATTATGTGACTTTTTTACGAATACATAATCAGAATTAACTTTCAAACAACCTATTGTTAATGGAGGAAAATCAGTTAGGAAGTAGCGAATAACGTTTACAACAACAACGGGTTTTAAGGTAACCGTTTTTACTGCACGCAGTTAAAGTTATTGAGGACGTGTCAATAAAACTGTTAATAATATAATGTATGCTGTAATTTCTATTTATATTTACGCAATAAATATACAAGTTCTCAGAAGGAAGTTTCACTTCAATTTATAGTAATATGTATAAGTAACTATTTTTCTGATTCTTCGTTGATTAAATGAATGACAGTATGGTTTTTTTTTTAAACAGAATTGACCTGGATTATTCAATTATACATTAAATTTAACTGAACGACAAATTTGAAAATTATTGTTTGGATTAAAAAAGGAAGAAAGAAAGAAATAAATATACAGAAGAAATATACGTAGAGCATCTTAAAAACTATACCTACTACTAGGGCAGTGCTTAACTAATTTTTTGAACAAAACCAAGGTATTGTTGAAGAAAGCGTTGAAAATCGTAGTATACATAACGTAACATACACCGTTCATACAAGTAACGTATTACGTTAGAACAACATATTGAATAACTGTATATTAGGTATAAGTCAACTTTTGCTAACTGTTATTTGGTATTAGATTAAATGGTACCTAATATGTTTTAAACCTATATTATAATTAATGTTAGTAACGCATTAGTAATACCTGTGGTATCACAGGCGTTCATAGATTATGGTGACCATTTAAAAAGAGCTTTCTTGCTTCCGATTGTCGTTTAAAAAAGTGTAAAAGAAAGATTAATATTTAATATCCAAAAAGTTTTATAATTAAAAGTTGTTAATGAAATTTTAACCTAAATATTCCCGGAAAGAAGTGATTTTAAAAATAACCTAATGTGATCGTTTTATTATGCAGTTCAAGTTAAATGGTGTTAATTACTGCCTCTTTACGTACTTAAATTATTATTATTACGTAATAATTATAATTATAATGTTGTTCGCAAAGCCCATATTAATATTATATTAATAACATCGATTACTTAATATTAAATAATAGGTAATTAATATTTATAAGATCCTTAAATTAATGTTGAGATTTTTAAGACAACGTTAATATAACTTAAACTGTTACATTTATCCGTAATAATATTGTTACATGCGATTTTGTAACGTATAACGTAATACTGAATTACAGTCTCTTACATTACTCCCTCACATGGTCAATGGAATGTGAATAATTACACTTTTTGTTATAGGTTTGTTAGCATTATCAGTATAGCGTTATTATGTTGCGTTGTACATTATTTCCACGTAACACGTTAAACGCCATAGGGGTCACCGGTGACCGGCGTTAGCGGAGAATTTACCTTTAACAGTTTTTTATTGGTAGTCAAAGTCTTTATCAGTATAGTGTTATTATGTTGCGTTGTACATTATTTCCACGTAAACATGCTTTTATGAATGAATCTTACCTATTAAACAATGCTAGGCACAGGTATAGAAAAAATAATCAGTTAAGTAATTCGGTTCAGACGAAAGTTCTAATCAGCACGATTATAAATTGTGATTGTGTCGATAACTGTGAATATATTTATATGTAAATACCTATACAAATTCATATACACAGCATACCCAGACGCAGAACAACTGTTCAGTAGAGCATATAATATTTACATAGGAGTACTTACATAATAATCAACGTGTTCATCTTCTGAGATATGGTGCTCGAAGTGTTTTGGCTCAGCATGCACGATGGACGCGGCTGGCTGGAGATCTGAATGAACCAATCTTACTGGTCGCAGATTGTAGAACATGCGACTCTGTGCGCAAGCGACAACCGTCAGGACTACGAGCACCAACTGGAAATGTTTTTTAAAAAAAATATTTAGGATAAAAATGTACAACTTGTTTCTGATAATTCGAAATCGATTTTTAGTGCACTCAAGAAAATTGTATATAATTATTAAAAGGTACGTAAATAATTTAAATAACCAAAAAGAATATAAAACACAAAGTAAACCACGTAAAAAGAAACTCTGGGTTAGCAAAAATTTTAATTCAATTGAACAATATTTAAGTTAAGCTAATTGTTATTAGCTAAGGCATTAAGTCCTTCAACACAGAAGCTTTAATAATTGCTCTTCACAGTAAGATTTCTTCGACATATCCACCCATACAAATCAAAACAAAAACAAATACACAAGTACCTAATAACAAACACAACTACTAATAAGCACAAAACACAAATATAGATACAATTTTTCTTTGCGCAATCATTATACACCAGATATGTCGAGCCATCTCCCATATAACAATAGAAGGTTCTTCTATAAATATTCACACGAACTTTCAATACTCCATTGATAGTTCCACAGAATAAGTTTTTACCTAGACCTCTGTAAGGCTTTTGTTTTCACTTGGAGATGTAGTATTAATGACCTTTTGTTGCATACGTTACGTAATTGTGACGTCACTTTTCTGCGTAGACTAGAGACGATTGGTATTTTTTTTTATTACGTGAATACTTTTTTATGTGTTAATGATTTTCTCGGAGAAGTTTTAAAAAAATATGGTCCTACATGTTTTTTTAAAAATGGATTATTGAAGGCATTAAGATATTACATTATTAAATTGTTTAGTTATTACATATAATATATCTTTTATAAAAATCAAGTACCATACTAACCGTACTATAGGTACCTAGTAAGTATATTTATTTATTTTTTTATTTTTATTATATGTTCACATTGATAGAAAATTAGTGTACGACCAAATTGTTTGTGAGCTACAAATCGTTCTATTTATTATATTTTTTTCAACTTTTAGTAAGTTCTAGTTAAGTAAAGATTTTGTAATTCAATTCTAAAGAACGATATGGAATTTTAAAATAAAGCCTTCCATCAAATACAAATACATACAGTTTATACCTAGGTACCCAAGAATCATCATCATCGGCTAATAAAAGTACTACTACTGGACATAAACCTCTTCCATTGCTCACAAAGGTTTATTATTGATAATCTTCGATTTGCAATATTATAATACACTAGCTGTTGCCCTCGAGTTCCTCCGCGTAGAATATGAATTTTAGAACATAACTTTTTAGTTACAATTTTCAAAAATACAATTACTCCTAAGTACGTCAGCTCAACAATAAGAGTCTTGCAAAATCGGTCCAGCCATTCCAGAGATTAGCCAGTACAAACAGACAGGCAGTTAAAAATGGTAAAAAATATATTTTGGTATGAGTATCGTGTGCATAATATTCATATACATGTAGTAAGAAGCGGTTATTTTAATATTACAAACAGACACTTCAATTTTATTTGTCTCTGTATAGATTAAAATTGTCATACTATAACGCTAACTATTTTATTTATCTGTATACAGATCAAAAATCTTCTTGAAAAATGTCAATTGCAGACTTAACTTTCTTAAAGTGATTCATAAATAAACAAGTTCGTCTCACCTTAAAGGCCATTTTCGATTACTTGTAATAAACACCAAAGCTTCTAACTAAGGCACCAGAACACGATCACTCGATTCGTAATCGATTTAAAACAAAAAAATCGAATGATGCACTTGTTTCACTTGCTGAGTATCGAATGCGGTGAGTGAAACTACACGGTAGTTTTATATGTGGACTACCTAAGGTGGTGGGTACAATGTACGCCGGGGATAACAGTAGACATTTAAATACAATAACTATTATATTTTTTAATAATAAAAATATAAAAAATGGGCTAAAAGACCTAATTGAGTAATGAAACTCGGTAAGCTTTATTTAATGTAAAAATCGAGTTGAATTGTACTCTCGATGCAGCGATTGATATTTTGATAAGTCTTGTTAATAAGGAATAATCCTTAACTTTTCGACTAATTAACAGATTAAAATTAATAGCTTATAAAAAATAAGTTTATTTTTAATGCAACTGGATTTTCTTATGTAACAAAAATAATCATCAGTGACTGACCAGGACAAATTTTTATATTAACTTTACCTGCCTTCTTCATAAAATTAAAAAGTAACATAACATCACGCTTTTTATCCTCGAAAGGGGAAGCAGAGATGCTGAGAGGAGAAGATGATTACATTGTATTGTAATCATCTTCTCCTGTAACACCCACTTTTCACTATTTATGTTATGTCTCCAACGTAATAAGGGGTGAGGCTATTGCCATAAACCGGGCACAATTCCAAACTCAGTGCCACTCCTACGATTTCCTTAAAAACCCAGTAACACTTTCCCCGACTCGGGAACCGAACCTGAGAATTGCGATCACACAAAAATTAAAGCCCTGGGTAATTAATTTAACCCATCTCCTCTTTGTTTATAAAAACGAACGAAAAGCACTGGCCATTACAAATCCTAAGTACCTAATATAGAACAATCGCGTTCATAAATACGCGAGTTATATCACAGCTGTCTATCAGTAAGCAAATAATCTCATTACATTCAACTACGACCAACATTATCAAGACTGCATGCAACAGTTAGCCGCTGCAGTACTTAGACATAATATTACCATTCCTTACCCACAACACCAAATCAACATAGAACCTCTCATTCATCACTTATAGTTAAGAAAAGGACAGGTAGATGTCGATACCGACTTATTTAGTATTAAATAGATGGGTAGTTGAATAACGATAGATGACTGATACACTTACGTCAGGTTTGCGATCAAAAATACAACCGCAGAGTTGGAAGAAAACTTCCTCGTGTGTAGAAATTGTTCTAAGTAGTGTTATAAGAACAATAAGTATGTGTTCATAATCTTCTTCGTCTATTTTTGCTTGGGAATAGCAGTTGTTGCTGTTGTGTTGAGATTGACCTCAACTGGAATGTTGAGAAAGATTTTTTTATGGGATAAGCCGGTAAAATTGCAAACGGATCACCTGATAGTAAGCAATTGGCGCCGCCAATGGACACCTGGAACACCAAAGGCATTACAAGTGCGTTATAGGCCTTTTGGGAATTGGAAATTTGGGAATTGTGGGGATTCGGGGATTGGGGAGACTGCGGGGACGGGTTCCTCACTCACACGACGGAATATAAGGCAAGCCTTGTTTTACGTCATTTTTCTGTGAGGCCGTTTCGTGCCGAAGCATGGCTCTCCCACACTTAGATGATATTTACAAACCATAACACTAGTAGGGAGCAGGAAAGATTCTGCCCTACTTTAGAAATAATACTAAGCCCGAAGTTCATCAGATAATGTTTGGTCAACTACCGCTGCGTAAACAGAAGTTAAAAATAATATTAATTTTTCACCATTTTAACGATCTCTCAATTATTTTGCAAACATATTTAAGACACCATATTCAGCCTCATTGTTTTAAACAGGTCAACGCTAAAACAAAGGTAAATACTTGAATCACTAATGAAAATAAATACACTTTTAATAAGCACCTACTTAAGATGACAACATAGAAATGTTGAAAACTATGTCGTCGACCATTTACCGTTCCCGTTCCATGGAAAATCTTAACAACAAAACAATTCAGAAACATTTTCTACACCGCTCCGTTGCCCAAGAAAATAGTTTAACATATTTTTCGTTTACAATATATCACTAATACGCGAGACTGCTTATGTAACGCACGATTACTAGCCCACTTTCCGAACATCTAATTATGTGACAATGGAAGTAAGGCACGGTCGTTATACGTCCAGAAAACAATATTATGGATGACGTAAATCAATTATATTATATACTGCTGAAGATAGTTACAAGTACCAATTTGTCACGGTGGATTAATTCCTTGTTCTAGGAAGCTGGTACAAAATGCCTTATCAATCGAAGGAGCATAAGATATGGCATAATAACTGACTAGCAAGTTATCACGTAATCCTGTGATCATAACATAAACGTGGACAGAACGTGGTTTGTACAACAAGAAATATTTTTCAATTTACATGAAAACGTAAATGTCATGTAAATTGTGTAGGAATACCTCATGGTCTTACCTTACCTATCTACCAATCAACTAAAAATTGATCTAGACCATCTTGAAACCCATTCATCATACAACTGCTCTCGCCTTTTATTTACTTCAACCTCAATCTTTGTCCAAATTGCATTGTTACAAAATCTGTATCAAATAAATGGCAGAAACATTACGTATTGCGAATCGACATTATCAAAAAAGTACCCTACTGATATAGGTAATGACTAAATGTAATGCATTACGATATCCGCTGGTTATGCGGCCCAGTTATACAACCATAGCATTCTACCTTGCACATTTACTTTGCTATACTTTGTTTTGTAATGCATTCTATTCGATGTTTATTAGTAAATTCTGGATGAAATAATATTCTTGTGATTTCATATGTTTGTATACGCACCTAAGAGAAAAAATTTCAGGCAATGTTAGAAAAAGATGAAAGTTCCCTTTAATGATTAATGATACCTGGGATATTTTTACAAATTGGAGTTCTTATTGTATTTCCGTTTTTCATATTGGTATGAGATCGGCTTTTAAAATCAAAAATCCATTAACTAATAATGATGTTCATAAAATTCAGTTATAAGTGTAATAAACGAAGATAGTTTCATTTTCCGCTAATTTAACCGATCAACGAATCAAATAGCTTCGAAAATTAAACCTGAAAATGCAGTTCTACCAATCATTAAGTTATTGGCACATAACAGACACACGACATGTGCCTGCCTAAGCATAACAAGATAATGATAATAAAATATTATTTTGATTACTTTCTCAGTTATATTCTCGTAAACTAAATATATTACGAATATAAAACTCTTAATATATTTACGTGGGTAACGCAAATATACTGTGAAAAAGCTCTACTAGTCTGTAGGCTGCACGATATTGCCGCGACCGCGCACGCTGATCATGAGGAAGAGTCCCTCTGTGATTAGTAGTTGTAGTAGAGCTTTTCTTAGTATATTTATGTGTGTAACTCGTAATTTTATGTCTCACAATGGTTATTATAAAAACATGTTCTAGTAATATTTGTTTGATTTCAAATTATATAACCTGAAGTCATCTATCATCAATCAATCATTCTAGTTCACTCGAAAATATTACTTACAAGTTTACACTTCACTGAAACTGACATGAAATGAATTATTAAATTCACTAAAAATTAAATAATTCACAAACTTACAAGTTCTTTTATAATAACCTGATTAGTGATTGGCTTAATAGGTGCCCAAATATGTAGTTGATTGACGAACCAGCTCAGTACAAAAAACTCATCATCATTATCAACCAGAGTATTAAGTCCAGTGCTCAAAAAGGTGATTGCTAAATTTAAAAAGTCATTCCTCATTAGGATTTACTCCTATCGTGGGTGCGTCACCCAGAACCGAAACAACAATTTGTGGATCACACGAAAATACTCCGTGCAGGGATCAAAACCACCACAAAGTTACATAGCAACCGGTTGCCCGGCCATCGCGTCAATCGTGCGTCATACTTCCCACGCTCGGAAGGCGACTTGGGCATCGCAGTTAGCCGTTAGGGTACTAGAACTATGCCGACGCCACACGGCCAAAGGAAGTTAACATTAACATTTCGTTCACAGTTTACCTACATTTTCTTTGACATATTAAATTGACCGACAACGGATAGGGAAGTACGGGGTAATTAAAATACATAGTCCGCATACATAAGTGCATTCGCATTTACTTAGTATCCGCAATAACGTTTTCTTGTCAATTGTAGTAAAATCTAATTAATCATTGCTCTATTAGCAACAATGTATACTAGTTTTTAATGGTTGATACGTTTCAATTGCTTGATTTGCCTTCTAGGTAACATACCAAAATTTATTTTTGAAACGGCTTTGATTTTATTTTTCCCGTTTTCAATAATCATAACAACATAACATAACATCATGCCATGCTTCCCCGAAGGGGTAGGCAGAGGTGCACATTATGGCATTTAATGCCACTGTACCATGTAACAACCACGTTTCACTATTTTATGCTATGAGTCCCATGTAATAGGGGATGAGCCTATTGCCATATACCGGGCACAATTCCAGCGTCCGTGCTACTACTGAGAATTTATTAAAATCCAGTAATACCTACTTATATGTTCAATGATCATCGTACGTAATTATATAGTTTTGCCTCATTAAATAGAATATGGGCCGTTCTTTAACATTTGACAATAGCGGAGCCAAGAACGGTTAAAAAAAAGGCGGACATGATGTTCTTCTAATTATTATATTGGTGTTACTCTATAGTAGCCTTTTTTCAACATCTTTTAGAGGAGCCTCCCCTGGCCTTAAACTCATTTATTACCTACAGTCGAAACTTAAACTATTTGCTTATTGTTTCAACAAAGAGTTTTTAACGCTAAGTATTGATTTTATGGACACAGTATTTCTCACTGATATGATAGTTATATATCTATGGTATTTCTAATGACAATCCAAAGAGTATATAAGTATAGGGGTGACAATCTATTGGGGTCGTTAAATGTCACAGTTTGTCAATCTTTATAGTTATTTTCGAGGTATTTATTTATATTTCAATCCTTATAATTACGTCGATATGCTAAAGAAGGTAAGGTAACAACATAATAATATAGTAGCTCCGAATCTTTTAATCCCAGTAGGCATAAATAGGAGTTATGTATAACAAATATTAGCACTCATTTTTGTTCAATTATTATTCAAGTCGTGCAACAAAGCGAGTCTACCAATATAATTATTACTGTGTGTTAAGGAAACGTAATTCCTTGATCAGTACTAAAGTAATCAGATCAATATATTTAAGAATGTCTTCAACGTGTTGTGTCGTCACTTTGATCCGGATGCGAAGGCGATGCATGGCCATACTGTTAAGACTAATACACTTTCGCTACATACATATATTTTCAATAAATTCAAAACATAAAGAGTAGTAACGAACAGCTATTAGAATACTAAGTAAGTGAGAGGAATAACAAACCTTCCATTGCTTTTACTACCTTGGAGTGTATCTAAATAAACTTAGAAGACGACTAGTTAAGAGGCAGTGATCAGAAGTTTTCGAATCAGTGTGTAGCACTGAATATTACTCTTTTGTTATTATATTTTTGTAACAATAATTTTACAATTTGGTGAAGTTTTCTTACATTATTTCTACATTTAAACTATAACCCATGTCCCACAATATTTGGAAGAATAGTGCCTTGAATACCGTCATAAAGATTTACAATTATTACACAGAAAGAAAACCTCATTTCGCTTTCAAATTAAAAAACAATTCTAATTGTATTTATAATAGTCATACAAAGGTTATTTGGGTAGAAAACCACTATCACAGAAATTTCTCAAACAAATATACGTATCAATTATTTCTAAAGAAATTAAATACAAAAGAATATTGTTGGTTAATATTTACTAAACTTCACCTTAAATCTCTAGAACATAACACCACGTAATAGTTTTGCCCGCGACACTTCATCTGCAGTTCTGACGCGTAGCATCTGGAGCGAATAGGCCTCTTTAGTACAACTACGGTTCGCATACCAAACAAAATTGCATAATACTAAACGAGTCTATTTACTCTACTTACCTAAAATAATGAAGGAAATATATTTAATCCAAACAGAGCCTGTTAGCTTATTATTTTCTTCCAATTTCTTTCAATTGTTTAAACAATATGTTTCTTTAAAAGCCCGAACCTTTTTTTCTAGGCCGTGTAAAATTATCACATTTTGTCAAACGAGTCCAAGTAATCCACGTAAATTAAACCCTTAATTGTTTCATCACTAGGTAAAGCCTAGGATTCAAAGTAACATTTATTGATTTTATCTTCAAATAATAGGAGTGTGGAACTTTATTTATTAGACATATTCTTTTTCGAAAATTACTACAAAATATTTTGTTCAAGGTGCAAAGTCTTAATCCTTCTGATATGTCATCGAGTACCGAGAAGACTCCGATGCAATGTTCTGTTTGTAAAACAACAGCCAAGTCAAGCCTTTATGTTTGTGAAAGTGGGCATATTATATGTAAAAGTTGCCAAAAATATGGTACGTATGGTAATTAAAAACGTGGTAGAAAATATATCTCACATAAAAGAGATTTTATTATTTCTTGGATCTTGTATCTTTCAAAAAGCTTTACATCGAGTGAAGTAGAAGATGGGTAGGGAGACCTGCAGTGGGACAATAATGGCTGAAAAGAAAAACTTCGTAGCCAATTATATGTATCCAAAATTGATTTTATCTATTTGAATAATTTCATAATTTAATATTTATCATACTTAGATGTAACACAAGATACTCGTAATGAATGTGGTGATAACAACACAGACAAACAGGAGGATCCAAATAATGACCTGATGGTGAAATTACAAGACTTAGCAAGCGGAGATTTTGACAAATTTGCAGCTCAAGGTATGTGATTAACACAGTAATTGAACTGCAAGTAAACATTACTCTATTTTGCCTTACCATCAGTTATTCAGTCGTATTTATTTAGGGTTGAACTACTTGAAAACGTTATTTTTCAGATCTAAATAAAGAATCAAAGAAAGGCTGCAATGAAGATAAAACCTTAGTAAAAACTCAGGTAAGTTCATAATTATATAAAAAAATATGTGTTTCGTGCTATGTATGACATGTCAATGAACAAAAAACAAAAATGAACACCTTAAACATTATTTCAGGAACAAGAAGAAGAATCTAAGAAAAACATGGAAGCAATTATTGAATACAAAAATCTGTATTATCAAGAGACCAGCTCAAGTGTTACTACAGGTGTCGAAGGGTTGAAGACCACAGAAGACGATATATCATGTCTAAGCACTTCACATGTTGCTCCAAGGTAGAATATGTTATTTATTGGTCTAGTAACTTCTTCATTACTTTTCATTGAAGGTATTACAAAGTTGTGGGTTTTAATTTCCTGCCTATTTTTATTATTAATTTCAGACCAGTGATGTGTCCAGTGACGATTTGTTCAAAAATGGTGACGATCGACTCCTTCATGCTACACTTCCATTTCGATCATTCCAAGGTTCCAAGAAAAACTTTAGATGACACCACACCTCAAGAAATTTCGCTAAAAGCATCAAACTTCTCCAATGAAGTACAATGCGTGGCTACATTTATAATGGAAACTCAAAAAAGGTTAATTATGACATAACTTAAATATAACAGCAACTAATGACGGAATATTTTTTGTATATGTATGTAAGGTATATCATACGTCATTTAACGTCATATCCACTCGTGTTATGTTTATAGTCTCATTCCCCACGGCCCACGGAAGAAGCCTTAATTGTCCAATCGGGTTTAGTATAATTTGTCATACACCGGTCACAATCTTAAGCTCCTACTGTTCGAACTTTGATTGTAATTAAATTACCAATTTTTATTTTCAGATCAAGCAAGACGAGAAACGCAGAGTCGACACCAACTGTTCGCAATACTTTGAGAGACAATAAGCTATTACTATTAATGGCCGTGAAATTGCCATCGAATCCTATAAAACTGCCTGGTATCAAATCTGACCAAACACTCGTTTTCACTCGGAGTATCCAGACACAGACTGAGAAAATCTTCGATTATGATTCTGGGGTACTATTGAATCGTAATAATATAACGTATCGCTAGTTGTGTTAGCGTCTTGTCAAATTTTTGTGATGTTCAGGAGAAGGAACCGAGGGTTTTAGTGCTGAACAAAAAAAAACCACCTTCTATCAAATATATTTTATTTTCAGAAGTTTGTAGATCTTCGCAGCAAAAATAGTGGCGATCATAAAACTTGCACAACTAAACTAGAATTTATTGACGATGAAGTTCTTTTGCTGTGGCTCTGCAAATTGGAAGATACAGAAAAAGTATTCAGTGTAAGTGTATGAAATGAAATTAAAAAATCAACTACCTTCCGACCGATATACCGATGACTACCCCGCCCGCGTGATGCGAGATTGTCAGTACTCTTACTGTCTATACAGTCACTCTTACTGACTAAAAACCCCCGCGATTCTACTCTTGCTCTTCGAGCCGAAGCCCCGGCAACCCGTTAAGTCTTCCGCGGCTCTGATTTTCCAAACTACTTGGAATAAATCAGTATCAACAACACTTTTTTCAAAATTTTGTCGTTATTCACCCTGATCAGAACTCTGCCCAGAAAAATTCAATAGAAACGCTAGGAGAAGTTAAATGATGCGGTACTGTACGGGAAAACGAACACAATGGCATCTGCAATAATAATCTTGTTTTTGTTATATAGATAACGCTATTAGGTGAAGATAGAAGACGAGGTTACTGTTATCTTGGTGATGCCGGTCATGTAAGAGAAAACCAGGATCCATACTTACTGTGTGAGAGATCCGAATGCCTCATTGTCAAAGGATCTACAGTTACCGACCTCTACGATCTTAATGGTCAAGTAACCGTTATAGTTAGTATGATAGGATAAATTATTATAAAATAAAAAAATATTTAAACTTAAAATTGTTTTATTAAAATTAACTTACTAGAACTGCTCACAAAACTTATCAGCGTCATTATATGTATTAACTGCACTACGAAGTTTCCTATTTGCGTCATTCCCATCATAGTACACTCTGACTTTTTGCTTACTACATTTCTTAGCTCCTCTTAATTCATTTTGAAAGTATACATCATAGTCAGGATTTGGTTTATCTTTTTCGACTTTATAATGATTACCTTTATTAAATTCTTTCAAAAAGTCGATTGGGTCATTTTTGTACTTGTATCCAGTCGGATTTGGAGTTGAATATCCCGTAGGATATGCCGTCGGATATCCAGTTTGTAATCCCGTTGGATATCCAGTTTGGTATCCCGTCGGATATCCAGATTGGTATCCCGTAGGATATCCAGGTTGGTATTGGTATCCTTGTTGATACCCAGACTGTACAATGGGATAGTTAGGGTTCAAATCTGTAGACATTTTTGTATCAGGATCCGTACTTTTAAATAAAGTATAATCAAATCTGTTTGGATTTTTTTGAGAATTTTGAGCATGGTGATCTTTTTGAGCAATATGAGCGCTATGAACCTTTGTAAGTTGTTGCGGTGGTGCATGCTCTGAATCTACAACTTTAATGCTTTTTAATTCAACCCTGAAACAAAAATTCTTGTTATAAATTATTTGACCTGAAAACCTTTTAGTTAACCCTTAAATGTAATCCGCTATTCACTACTGGGATGTCGAGTTAGGGGATCTTGATATATAGGATATATAATGTCGTGGTGGCCCGGAGGTTTAAGACGCCCACTTCTCATGCATGAGGGTGCGGGTTCGAAACCTACCAACGGCAAGTACCTATGTGACTTTTTCCGAGTTATATGTACTTTCTAAGATTATTTAGACACCACTGACAAACGGTGAAGGGAAAACATCGTGAGGAAACCTGAACTTATAATTTCTAATTATAAGTTTGAAATCGCCAACCCGCATTGAGCAAGCGTGGTGATTAATGCTCTAACCTTCTCCGTGTGAGAAGAGGCTTTGCTCAGCAGTGGGCATTTATAGGCTGTTGATGATGTTGATGATGATGATATATAGGATTAATTCAAATAACATTATGATAAAATACATCCTTCCTTCCACTCTCTCCTACTAATTGTTAAACAATAATAAAGTTTAGAATTTGGTCTCCTTACCCATAGCTCGCGTCATCAGCGTAGTACTTCACTTGGATAGGATTCCCATCATTGTCCATATACGTATATCTACCAATTACTGTACCATTAGGAAAGTGCTTCTCGTCCCGTGCCTCAGGTGTCTCTAGATCAGGTTTTGTTGTCGGATAACCTGTAGAATGAATTTCATCAACAAAGTTGTTATATGCAGATAAAATAAATGAGATTATAGACACTGATGCACATTATATCAGTTTACTGCTAGCCTTCCGACCTAATGTCCGTGTTTTCGCTAACTTTTGATGGGTTATGCGCAATGTTTCCGATCGGTGGATTCTGAAATTTCAACTCACCGGAGTCTCTCTGGGGTAAGTTACAAGTAAAACAAAATTAAAAATACTTTTTAGGTAATCACTGTTCGACTCCAGACAGTACATTTATTCCATCAATTTTAGTACTTATGCTACCAACTCCCAATTCTTTTATCGAATACTTACATGTCGCTGTTGTAAAGAATATCAAAGGAAATACGTAAAACTTCCATAAATGCTTTCTCTTTAACTTTAAACGCTTCATAGCAATATTATATTATTAAAAATATTTTTTAACATTCATCTCAGTTTGTCAAAGTGACAATTAAATTATTTTTATATTTCTGCTAATTATGTCAACACTGCTAGCACAACCAAAGAGTTTTTTAAAAATCGGATACGTAAGTAATCTACAAAAACAATTTTCTTATGTTTTTTTTTATTTATAAATGGGTCGCGTTCTAGACTTTAAAGTATAGTTCAACAATAAAACAAAAATTATCATTAATTAGTTTATTCTCAAGTAAGTATGTTCTTAAAATTAAATAAGTTAACTTTGTATAAATACTTATAACTTTATATAATTAAATGCAATTCTGTTTTAAAAACGTCAGCCATGTTAATTTACACGAAATTAGTATTGGTGAAAAATGATCCAAGTTGTGTGACGATATCATTGAAGACTTTCTTCTTGTGAGGTTTTGGAGGCCTGGTCCATGTGATGGAAGGTTCTGTAGGTTTACTAACAGCTAGTGCAACGGGCAATGGTTTTGGGGTTGGCAACTCTAAATCTGAATATACCCTGAAATCAAAATAAAGATTTAAGGCAAATACATACGCAGTACTTAATGGGTCAATTTACACACGACTAATATAGTCTGAGGAGGTATTTTGAGTACCAATCTACTTTGAAAATAATTTTGTAATAATGTCTAATTATTAGATAGGAAAACCATTGTTGTATAATAGTTACTTGTATGCTAGCGCCTGCCAAATTGCAATAGCAATTCTCTTTACTGTAATTTCGTTTCAGTCAAGTTAAGGCGCATATGTTTGATATATTTTACATCAATAGGTAAAAATGGTTTACGTTTACTTTTATATCAATTATTTAACTATGAGATAATTGTGAGTCAGATCCAACACAAGTATTGTTAACTTACTGGGGCTGCCTCAATGTCAAACAGATATTGTAATTCTTGATATAATATACAATATGAATTTGAATCGTCAAAAGCTTACCTGTATCCAAATCTGTCAGCAATGTACTTATATTTGACAGGTTTTCCATAAGGGTCTATGTAGCCGTAGCTGCCTGTGACGGTCCCGTTTGGATGGCGTTGTTCAGCTCTGTACTGAGCGTTACCAGTCGCCGGATCGTTTACATCGTAGCCAAATGAATACATTTGTGGGTTTCCTATAAAATATAACATAATTTAAATATGACTACGTAAGCAGAGGAGAAATTGTCACCTTCTCTTCTAGAAGGTATTGTAACCGCCTAAGGGGCTTTTTTTTTTGTAAGGCGGGAAAATCATCGAATGACTGCTCCCGCCTGGGTGAGGTGGAAGGGAGTGTCAGACTCTTACTGACTAAAAACCACCCCGTTCCTTCTCCTGCACGTCGAGCCGGAGCCCCGGTTACCCGTTAGGTTCTCCGCGACTCCGAATCGGCATCGGCCCTATTGGGCCCCATCTGTGGTGGTCTGATGGCTCTTTGAGGCGCGCGCGGAACGCGACGCGCCGTACGCTCGGGTCTGTTTCTGGTCGGACGGGGAGCCACCCATGCTCGCCGTCCGCACCCGCCTAAGGGGCTACACATTTGACAGAGACCGAATATAGTATCGTAAGATGGGATCAAATCCAGTAGGTATATACTTATATACAGGTGTAAACGGAACGTTTCCAAAAGCGCAGACATTTATTTTTGTTTTTTACAATATTAATCGAATACCTTGAACATTTTATGTCTTCTATTCATAAGATAAATATTTCATTTTTTATTTTTTTCTAAAACTAAACTCATTTTTTTACATTACGTCTTCGTTTTCGGAAGCTTTACGATAGCCTGTATGTGTATATTAGGTACGTATATTACATTATAACCTTATTTAAGTTAAAGAATTGAAAATATTAGCAAGGACTAATTAAACAATTAGTATTTATTTATCAGCATAACATAACATCACGACTTTTATCACCAAAGGCGTAGGCAGAGGTGCCCATTACGTTAATTAATGTCACTGTACAATGTAACACCCACTTCCCACTATTTATGTTATGTGTCCCATGTAATAGGGAGTGAACCTATAGCCATATACCGGTCAAATTTCCAGACTACGTGCTACTACTGAGAATTTTTGAAACATGCAATAATCCTTTGCCCGACCCGTAAAATCGAAACTGAGTCCCCTCGCCCGGCAGTCGCATTTGCGACCACTCGGCCAACGAGGTAGTATTTATTAGTTCTGTAAAGAATATAATACATAATGTTATTTGTCTTACTGTCATATTCGTGGTAATAATGGGCAGGTTCATATTCAACTACAGTCAGTCTCGGATTTCTAGGAGCCGTGTATACAGAAGCCAGTATCGAGTTCACCAGGAGTATCTGTAAAAGCAATGTTCCTAATGAATATACTTAAGTATCAGTCTAATAAAACCTTTAGTACCAATTTATCAATAAGCCTTTAGTAATGATAATGATCAAACAAATCTTGCGTGTGCGCCGTATATTTTTGTACTCAGAGCAAAATCGTGGTCAATTTATCTATATTAAAGTCAGTTTGAGTAATGATAATAATTAGTTATCTGTCGGTTAATACGATACCTACGCATGAGGTGTACGGCAAGCTTTTAATTACAATTTTTTGTCAAAAGTTTTATTTCTTTTTTTTTCATAGATTATCGGGCAAGGGAATGCGGGATTTACCTTTGGAAACTGATCCAAAACCCTTAACCAGCAATTGAGTACTTGCCAACTAGTCAATATTTATTTAGAGTCAAACAACATACTTATTTCTTAAAAATTTGCGGGAAAAATACTAAAACTAAGTTCGTCATAAAAGCAATTAATGAAAGTATTTTTGAATATTTTATTTTATTAAACAGTTGAAATAATTTATTTTTGATTAAGGAAAGTACCTACCCTATTATTCGCCTCATCTGTCATTAATTGCCTTTGGAGTCTGAATCAAAGTACCTATACCTACTATAGAGTGAAATTATTTTCACTCTAGGTTCTTCTAGGCTTCATAGGTTATCCTAGGGAAATTTATTACTTAGATGAATAAAATCGATCAAAAAAGAAAGCTTTTTTATTTAAAGTATTGTTTTTAACATTTCGTGTGTCCAAAACGCGGATACACGCGACACAATGCATTTTCTATTATGTCTCATATCGGCCCATTCAAGCGGATAATGAAATTTTAGTATTCTATTTCTAACCTTTACAATATTAGTGTAGGTAAATTAGTAAGATGTATCATATATAAGATAGA